CACCACAGTCTCCATAGACCGCGTTCGCGTCACACGAGCCAGGTTGCTCGTAAACGGCAGACTTCCTTGTTCCACACTCGTACGGCAAGTAGCAGGCTGCTACTAAAGAATTCTTTGTTGCGTCTCAACTTGACGGACCTTGCGAAGTCCGATCCAAAGGCAAATCACAAAGTGAATTCCCCCCAGTGGCAAGAAGACACTGGGGCTTAACCCTAACCAAATCAGACAGCTGCTAGTCAGCCAATAATCTAACTAGCGAATAGGATCGCACACAGGATATCCAACCTAATCGAACACTTGGATACCTTTTTGGGAGGGGTTCAGGGGTTCTGTGAATGGCAAATTCGCAACAGGGTTATATGTAGGGGTTGCAATCTATACAGCTGTAGCGATTTACATGCACTATGAGCAAGTCGCAAATAGTGACTGAAACCTGTACTTTTTGGTGTGGGTTCACCGCCACTCTGACCCAATTGCTAGTATTTACACGAATAACTTGTCGTTGAGCTCTACACACAGCTTTACGTTTTACTTCTTAACTTTCACGCAAAGTCACATTGCAGACACATAACGCATACTATTAATAGTACAAAGGAATATCACAGGGCTACGTCAATTTGCTAGCTCAACTGCTGGCATGGTTCAGGACTCTAGAATGCTTGTCTTGCCTTACTAGCAGAAATGGATTTGGTCCTCCTTGATGCGAGCAACAACGAAGGGCTAATCCCCTAGTATACTGTATCAGCTCTCGTTATCACTGTGTTAGTTGTCAATAAGGTACAGTACCTGCAAAGCAAGGCTAGTTAGTACATCAGTCAGGCAATACGACGCAGCATGCATGCTCCTGTTCAACACCCTATCATCTTCCAGAAATATTGCGTTTTGATTGGATAAATCTTTATTTTTTATGGCCAACCATAGATTTCAATAGAGAGGTTTTGCAAGTGTCCGTTCGCGGTAGCGTTCTGCTCCGAACCATGCTTTTTGTGTCAGATGCAGTTCGAACGGAATATCAAACATACTTCCTCTGTCCCACATTAATATGCCAAAAGAAAAACACATTTTTTCCACATTACTGTGAACAAATTGATATTATTGGCTCATCAGGAAATACAAGATTTTCATTGGTCATTAAGTCCTAGCCTACAAAAGAAGGGACACAGGGCAAGAGACATTCTGCATCAGAAGTCCAGCGCGTCGCAAGGCGGCCTTCTTCAGGTGAGGCAAGACGTAGTGGTTGCCTCCGTCGTGCTCAAGGATCAGTCGCATCACCACTGAAACGTGAGAAAGACGCTCTCGAGCTTCTCGTAGCTCAGCTCTTCGAACGCAGCGAGGGTCGTGCGAATCACATCGTCGACAGTGCGACTCATCGACTTGTACTGTAGGGATTGAACCTTTCCGAAGAAGCCGAGGTCCAGCGCGTTCAGGTCCGGACTGTTGGGCGGTTGCCGACGGAGCACAAACATCCACCCGTCGGTGGACACAGCTTGAAGTTCAGCATCCGTGATGGAGGCATGAGGCGTCGCATTGTCGTGTTGCAGGACGACACGCTTGTTCGCACTCGGAAAGAACGCCTTGATCGCAGGTATGACCTTGTTGATGACGTAGTCTCGGTATACAGTTGCATTCACGTTGACCTAGGACATGACCAGGGTCCCGGCGGGACGGTTGCATGAGTTGCGAACAGCGGGGACGGACTCCACGAATGTGCCCACTTTGCCATCAAACTACACCCCGCGGTCGTGGTCAAATCGAGGCCGGATGACCGCGGCCAAGAACATCACCTTCGGGATAAAGCGCTTGCTCTTCCACGTCCGCCGCGGAGGGGTCTCACCGGGAACCAGGTACACCTTGCGGCGATCTTTGTCGGCATTGAACCACTTTTCATCCAAATGGACCACATCCCATAGGCTGTCAAATTCGCAAAATGCAGTGCGTTCTGCCTTGTTGGCGTCCGTGAGGAGCGGCTTGATTCGAGTCGACCAACGAACGAAGATTCCCATCTTCAGGTGGCGGCTAATGTACCCATGGAGAGACCAGTGGCAGCGGAGATGTCTCTCGTGGTCGATCGCTGGTCCATGGGAACATCACGTACGAGATTCCGGACGTCGTCGGGGGAGTACTTGGGCTTCGGACCAACCTTGGCGCACTTGTTGAACGTCAGGGTACCGCGGGTACAAAACGTGTCCCAGATATAGGCAACACTGCGGCGTTCAATGTCGAGCATTTCAGCAGTTCTTGTGAATGCGCCACCGACTAACTTGCCATTCACAAGAAAGTGATGAAGTTGTTGGATTACTTCAGACTTCTTGCTGCTGGAAACGTCCTTACGCTTGCGGGGGGCTTGATTGACCATGGCGGCAAATTCAAAACTGTGTTGGTTTGAATATGTGGTGTAATCTTATTCGGTTGGTGGAAATTCGATGTCCATTTTGGGCGCGAAGAAGTTGCTTCGGCGATTACCATCCAATGCATGGTACCTGTAGTTTTTTATTGTCTTTTTAAAATGATATCATGCATCGAATTTGGTTAACACATAATTCGATGACAACTCGTAAGGCATATTAATGTGGGACAGAGGAAGTAGTTGTTTTGCACGAATGCGTTCACGTTCTGCTCACAAATATCCGTATAAGTAAATTTTATTCGGATATTCATTCGCGGGAAATCACTTTGTCCAGCGATGGTTGGGAGATGTCCTTGCTTGCCCCCTTCGTAAAAACTACGACACAGATACGTCGTTTTTTAATGCTGTGTGCGTGAAGTTACGTTGAGCGCCCAGGTATCCCAGAACATCCGGTACAATCTCGATGCTGTGTCCGACGCCAAAGCACTGCTGGACTTTCGCTTCGACGTCACAGGAATCAAGAAGTTGTGCTATCTTCTTGGTCTCCCGTCTGTGGTGATTACTACTCAACGCTACCGCGCTTCCCGGGACGAAGCAATGTGCATTCTGCTCGGCCGTCTGGCATTATTTGCATCCACTTCTACGGCCCCGTCGAAGGTCGACGCCATGATACGACCATGCTGCGGTTGAGTGGTTTGTTGGAGTACCTCTCCCAGCCACCAAATGTGTTCTCTGGCTGATTCATTTACGGGGACCCCGCGTATGGTATATCCCGATATATTTTGTCGAGATTTAAAGGTGTGGACGTCTCGGGGAAGAAGCGAGAGTTCAACAAGTGGATGAGTCGCGTGCACCAAGCTGTCGAATGGAACTTCATGATTATGAAGTCGTTGTGGACCTTTATTACGTACAAGAACCTATCGAAAATCCGGTTGTCCCCTGTGGCGAAAATTGTCTCCATTGCAATGTTTTTGACCAACTGCAACTCATAAAATCAGCGACTACTTTGGGTTGGCCACCGCATCTGGAGCAGTATCTAGATATCTACGGAGTTTTTGATCTTTAACAATAATAAAACATTGTTTTCAGAATGCGTAATATATTTCTCGTTACTACTTTTTCATGGCTGCTAACATGGCAAGAATTGTTTCGTATTGAAGCCGAGATTGCTGCGAGGCTATTTCGCGGTATTTGTGGTGTTCCTCGAGTTCCTTGTCGTACTTATACTTTCGAAATCCAGCACATCATTGCGCAACTCCCGCTCTGCCTTGGCATCCTCTTGCATGGCAGTAGTGATCTTCATGAAACACCCACCGGCGCCCGATGCTTTTTCAAAGTCATCGTCGAGAGACTTCTGCATACCCTTCGTTTGCATTACCTCGTTTCGAATCTAAGTTCCGTCAACTTCATTTTTCTCTTGGTCCGCCACCACCTGCTTGTGGCGTTGAAACTTAGAGTCGGTGTACGCTGTGAGGAGCACGTCGAGGAGGAGAATCCTCTCATCATGTCTTCACTGCACCCGACGCCCTCGCTGACTCAGCGTTGAATTGCACGTGGCCGTCCAACAATGTCCCAAAGCGGTTCAGTGCCTTTTTGGCGTCGAAGGACGGGCGTCCAAAGTCTTCATGTTCGGCAAGTTGGTTTGCGAGTTGGTTTGCGACGGACGCCAACGATTTCATTACCTTTTTTCGCTTGGATTGGGCGGTCAGCATTCACCTGACGAAGTAGCATGACATCTTCTTTGTCGTTGAAGACGCGGCGGCGCTGAGGTGTCTCCATGTCAATCATGAACTAAACCACCCGCCACTAAAACCTGACGTGTCATGTGTGGTTGGAGGGTCGTGCAGTTCTTGATTGGCCAAGAACTGCCAATGATATGCAGTTATCACGGAGCAGATTGGATTGCCAGAGCGGATTGGCAATCAGCTTTAAGAGTACGCGTTCGCGTTCCATATGAGGTTTGACAGGTCGACTTCCGGTTTTGGCGTGGAGCTCGAACGCGAACGGACACTTGCAAAACCTCACTAATGTCGTCATTCTTCAATTTACCACCTCACACACACTGCTCACTGGGTCCACGGGTATGTAAGTGTTCGATCCTCTTGCGCATTCAGTCATCCGTTGGTATCGCAAGCAAGGTTCATTCTATATTGTCCGCCTACGGCTCAAGCCGGCAAAGTTGCCACAAGAGTCTGGTAGCATGGAGTGCAATTCACACGATTACTCCAGGTCACGAGGCCTAGAGCAATCGTTCGAGGTTTAATCCCATGCAGCTACGTACTCGCTCGCAGTAGTAATACCAGTATGTCCTGATTCACGTCGGCTTCATGCCATCGGTGGTTGGTAATACTAAGTAGGGTCGACGATAAGTTTAAGGTATTTCATGATTTCTCTACCCTTATTCCGATGATTACCATAACCAAAAAAGTTACCCTAACCACTCTAACAAACTAACTTGACTTTTTCAACAGGCTTTTTGTCCATATGACTCCCTCATATTTGTGGTGCGAATGACTGCCTGAACATGTTTTCTGGGCAACATATTTTGGCCAAAAAGCCTGTCGTGAGAGTGGTTAGGGTGACTTTTCAAGTACACCGAACCTCTTGGACAATATCCGGACAATTGACGCACAACGCCTAGGAATCTGGAGTCCAGAGTACACTTTTTCCTCCTACAGTAACACGAACAATTCCCTCGCTGCAACTGTACCACTTTTGTTAAGTAATCATTTTTACCAAGAGTCCCTGTAACCCCGGAACCCCTGGACCCCTTGTGCTTACATACAATGCTCTTCCTGGGGTTAAGCTGAAATGAGTTTTTTGAATTTACACTTGATTTGACTATGGTTCAGAAATAACTTGGGTTTTGTATGTCAGGAGGCCCAAATGATTACGTAACAACAGTACTACTGTTGCAGCGAGGGAATTGCTGGCCGAACACGGCCTATAGCCAATCACAGTCTTCCAATAACTTCATTATGAAATTTGCCGTCAAGCGCCGACTGAAAATGGACTTGGACGTGCTGCGTGTCCTACACGCCCCATGCCTTCCGTTGGAGTCGCAAACGTGGAATATCCTTTCTGCACCGTACCATGTAATTACAAGTTCAAGATATCATGTATAAACAGCTCCAAATAAGACCCAGGCAGGATCAATCGGAAGGACACACTACTATGCGAGCGTGTAGTGTAGGCTGACTGTCACAAATGCGCTGCTGCGGGAACCTAGTGGCGTGAAGTACACTATGCACGTTTACTTCGGGTCACCACGCTCCCGCTGCAACGTCTGATGGCGCTATCCCCTACACACGCGCTTGCTCCAGGACCCATGCATGGTATTATTTAGGGTATTTTGAGGACTCTATATTAGCAAGGGGTGTGTACAGGTTTTTGGTATACTCGGTTTTCACTGGCTAACGTAGTATGTGGATTTCAACCAATCCAAGCACGTCGTGGCCGGCTAAGTCCGCCTAACAGTAAGGTAGTGGTACTATTGATATGTAGTACTGTAAGTCGCGACAAATGCACGGCAAGGTGATCATGTATTTGGAAGTACTTACTAGTACGCGAGGCGCTTCATTTTGTGGAGAATTCCTGATACCGTCGCAACTTTCAGGTCGGTCTCGTCGCGTTTGCGCTTCTAGTTACGTCCAGTCCGTTGTAGCCCAAGCACGCATCAAACGACTCGGTTCGGATGGACGGTCGTGGTCGTGGGGCTTGGCACCAGTTTCAGCTTCGAAAATGTCCTCCATTCGGCGCATCACAGTCACCATGGGATCGTCCCGCGCACCAAAATGCGGAGGCTGCGTGCCTAACGCGGTGCTCGATTCGGGCAATCTCGAAGCGATGCGACTGGCGTACTGATCCCCCGCAGGCGCGTGAAGAATAATGTAACGATCCAGCACGTCTCCTAGGGACCACCCTTCGCGAGTTGTTAACACTCCGATCGACAGACCCGTGGTGCAGCGTGACGTTTCGAACGTCACGGTGCCCTTGCGGATCGAGTGTGTTGCCACGTTAGGGAGTCCGTCGACGCCATCGAACGCAACCAGTATTTGTTGGTGAAACCAAGTCACCGTTGGACGTTGCCGTCGCTATCATCAACGCCGTAGCGCTTGCACTCGGTGCGTGACCTGGTATCGATACGGCGTCGCAAAGTTCAACGTGTTGCGGTTCAACACACCTTGGCTGCGGCCGTGGGCCATGACCCATTGAACGATGGTTCGGATTTGCGTCGTATAACGCCTATTGTCGACTCAGTGCGAGGGTTGTTTTTCGCGTCCTCGATGGTGGTAGTCGACCGCTCGCGGCTTGGTGGCATGTGTGGTCGTGTTGAAAACCAACAATTTACTTACAGTACTTGGAAGTACGACGCAAGGCCATTCCCTCGTTGGTAAACGTCGTCGTCATCTCCCACGCATATACATATACTAGTACTGTACTTCCATACGTACGTACAGCAATACTCGTAATCATGACAGGGCAGGTGTCTCACACATACACACAACGGGGCACCGGCCCACGCGATTCGTCCGTAAATCGAAGCATCTCGACGTGCCATTGGTTCCCTTCGCGTGCACGAAAGGGCAATACCCATAGTGGGGGGAAAGTGCGGCAGTCGAATGCAATACAAACTCCAAGTCAAACTCGACCACCTCCCACCTGCGATGACGCACGAAACACTTGAAAATCCTGCACGTTACCGGATACCGTGGACGAAACAAGGTAGATAGATACCTGCACATGTCCCGTAGTTCTCTTTGTTCCCAGTGTAAAACTCGAGTTGGGTTTTTCCAACATACAGTACAGTATCAATAATCCACATTCACTCTCATACATTCCTTTGGCCTTCACCCTTAAATCAATACTCCGGATAATAATCCGTACGCTTGTACTACGAGTAACGTTACTGAGCTAATAATGAGCTAATAATGGTGCAACTTTGAGGTGTTATTGGCATGACCAATTTGGCTATCAAGTGATTACACTGGTGTCAGCTGTCGTTTTAATTGACGACTAAGCGTCCAGTACTAGGAGGTTAGCTACAGTTACTTGTTGCAGCTAGAGTTAGTTATACAGGTATACTGTATAGCGGCAAACGTAACTACCGGTAATTACACAAAGTTTTCAGCCGAAAATCTCTCCAATACTAGTATGTGAAACCACGGTATAGCGTGTTTGTTGTGATATATGTACGTGATCTCAACTGCAGTTGAGAGTGAGCATGCCATCGCAAATCGCAGTGAAAAGCAGGAGGGGGTAGTGAATATCCTAAGGGGTGATATTGAGGAGTTGAATAGATATTTGTACTAAAATGCAATATATGGTTAGGCACAACTTGCGACTAGAAAGCTATAGATGATAGGTATTGCTACCACATACTAGTACTACGTAGGAATACCCATGCATATCGGCTGTATTCACTATAGATCGTACATTATATTCTTCGTAACCGCAGCTGCCAGTAGCATGGAAAGTGGGAACTTCTATATAGCCCTCACATCGATTCAGAGCACATGTATATTCTACTCGAGCATTAAGCAAGGATGTGTTCTGCAGCGTGCAGAGCAATTGGGTCGCGCGTTAGTTTGACCCATTGCAAACACACACACTCTGTGTGTGTGGCGTGTCAAAGGTTCCGATACCTTAGTGGAGGTACTGAGTACTTTAGGGAGTGGTAGTCAGTAGGCGCCTCGTGGCGTGTTTAACCTCACTAATATCAGTGTGTATATTTGCTGCCTTGACGAAGGTCCCGTGGCCGAAAGCCAAGAAGAAGCGGGAGACAATACAAAGATATCTTTAGTTCATTGTTGAGCTATTCACTGGAGATGGTACGAGAACATTCCTACGACGA